AAGGTTTTTTTTAAAACTTGTATACTCTTTTATATCCTGCCAGTAAAAAAAGTACAGTACTATATTCCAAACACCAAACAATCCGTTTTTGAACTTTTGCCCTGCACATGTAAATTAAAGCAAAATCCTCTCATCTGTACAGTTTCTTCATCTAACTTAGGCATGTCAACCCACAGCCCATGGACCTCATGCAGCCCTGGACAGCCAATAATGTAGCTCGACAAGATATAATAAAAAAAGGATTTTTAAAATTTATATACATTCCCTACTGTTATATATTTTATATGTATCCCAAGAAAATTCCTCTTTACTCAGCGTGGCCCAGGCAAATCAAAAGGTTGGACACCCATGATCTAACTTGTTCTTCATAGCAATCTAATAATAAAAGGACTGTCTCCTTGAGGACTTGTTCAACTTCTTAAGCAGTTCCAAACACTGTACATTAGTTGTCTTAGCCACAGAAGTGGCTTGTTGTATCATCTTCCAGGAGGCTTTTTCAACTATATAGTCAAATCTTGCAGCTCTGGGATTTTCTAGTCTCCATTTCTGAACCATTTCTGATCTTATCTAGGTTTGGAGATAAGACAAGATAAACTATTATTAGTCTCCAACTATTAAATATTGTTTGCATAAACAAGAGTCATTCAATCAGTACAATTGAGTTGTGCTTGTTGTAAATCAACATAATTCTCTTCAGTAACAAAAAATAAATTAATGTTTCTTTCTTACAACTCATATTTCTTTTTTAACTCATTTTACCTGTTGGTTCTAAAAAAGAGACTGTTCTATTATAAGTTGGAGGCGAGGGAGAAATAAACGCTCTTGTAAAAGCCCTTCTGTCAGACTCAAATAACCAGAAGCATTTGTTGACTTCAAAAGCACAGAAGTGTTTATTACTGCCACCTCTAATACAAGAATCTAGTCAACTAATGGTCAAAGCTAAATTAACACTAGATAAAGGTCAACGGAATTCAAGGAAGGCTGGACTTAGATCTCTTGTGGCAGTGCAATGACTCCAAACTGATGACATGTTTAACCTCTCCTTCCAGCTCAGCCTGCTCTTCTCCTATACCTTCCTAGTGACTGAAAGTTTGTGAAGTCATGATCAAAATCTGCATTGCTCAAGTCCTTTTGAGTATGTAAAGAAAATGAAAGAAAATCAACTGGAAACAATGCATAGACTAAAAGCATTGAGCGGGAAATACCTGCTGGTGGCGGCAATAACATTGTTTTCATAGGCACAGATGGGGAGAGGTCATGGGGGCAGCATTACAGCTTTCCTCTTCATTGTGCTCATCATCATGTTTCTACTACTCCTATTTAGCAGGCTCTGCACTGATTGTTCATTTTCTGGATATGCTGCAAAGGACTAGTTCTGACTTTAAATATATGTATGTAATACTTGATACTGAAGTGCCAGTAGGGCTTTTTATGACAATCTATGTCACCCCTTCTAAGGAGACCTCCCTAGGAGATATTGCTGGTGGCGTTCCATTTTCATGAAGTGAAGAGGGTTAAGCCAGTCAATGTTTTTCTGCTATGACTCCAACACTGTACTCTGGAACTGTGTTTATGTGGAAGCTCAATTGATCCTCTTGGGGAGAACCATCCAAAAGCAGTCAAAACTGAACACTTCTGAATGTCTTTTGCAAATTGATGGTTCACTATCTGCAATTTTGTCATCATATTGCTTATTATAAATGTATTTATTATTAATGCTCTGTATTAATTGTGCCTGGGTTAAAGGGTTTATTATTGTAAATATTTTATTTATATTATATGGTTTAACTGTTGCAAGTGACCTAGAATGTGGAAGAAATAAAGGGCTGATCGGATGGATGGATGGATGGATGGATGGATGGATGGATGGATGGATGGATGGATGGATGGATGGATGATAGATAGATAGACAGACAGACAGACAGACAGACAGACAGACAGAGTGGGAAACCTTTTGCATGAAAAATGGGATTGTTCTCATGTGCTGCAAAAGCAAGTAGTTGAGAAAATGAAAAGAAATATTCTTGTTTTTAGATATTGGAGGCTTTGTGTGCCCTTCACAATGGGCCAATGTCACTTCCTGAGGAGGGCTAATGTGTTGTATAATTTGCAGTCATTAATATACCTTTCTAAAACAGATGATGTATGGGCAATTCAATCTTCAAGCAGCAAACATTCCTGTACTGAGAAATTACTTATAAATAAATAAAGGTCCTATTTAGCTTCTTGCTGTCATTTCTAGTAAACAAATTATTTATGTAGCAAAAAACAAGTTCGTATTCAACATAGCTAACATATTATACAAATTTTATAGACTAGACTTATTTCCTGGAACAATGATGGCTAAGCTTTCGGGTTTGCCATGTCAAAAATTCTGAAAATACCTAACTTGACTCTGCAGGCGTGTTACCTCCCCCCCTTGAACAAAAGAAAAACAATTATTTGCATATTCATTTAGTTTTTTTAAAAATACAGTCCAATCATATTTGATACCCAGGATCTGTTACATGCTGTTTACCTTCAGACAATGTTCTCTCTCAGTTGGCAGGTCCCTGTGGCCTGCCTAAGGCAGCTCCAGGTCACACAGGATCTTCTTTCTTGAAGTATCTTCAGAAAATGCTCTTCCATAGCCTCTGCAGCATCAGAAAACTACATAGAAAACACATTTACAGGTAAGCACTTCATATCTGCTTCTGTGACCACATCCTATATGGGTACAATTGTGGAGAGATGAAAAAGAGTAGAGGATTCACTTATTCTACCTACTACCTACAGCACTGCGTGTACCAAGCAAGAGCAAGGCCCATGCAGTTATTTGGAATGGATGTAGCAACAGACAATGGAGATTAACTATTATGTTGGACTGTGACTAAATTTTTTATCTGAAAACAGACAGCTGCCACTCACATTTGGATCCGGGCTGCTATTAGTCTCAAAGGGGCAAAACATATATAGTACAGGTAGTCCTCGACTTACAACAGTTCATTTAGTGACCGTTCAAAGTTACAACGGCACTGAAAAAAGTGACATGACCATTTTTCAGTTATGACCTTTGTATTAAGCATCCCCATGATCATGTGATCAAAATTCGGATGCTCGGCAGCTATTTCATATTTATGACAGTTGCGGTATCCCAGGGTCATGTGATCAACTTTTGCGACTTTCTGACCAGCAAAATCAATGGGGAAGCAAGATTCACAACTTTGTTACTAACTTAACAACTGTCATGATTCACTTAATAACAGTGGCAAAAAAGTCGTAAAATGGGGCAAAACTCACTTAACTGTTTCACTTAGCAATATACATTTTGGGCTCAATTGTGGTCGTAAATCAGAGACTACCTGTCTGTGTCTTCCTCAATCTCTGATCCTGGGAGTTAGATGGTTCTGCATCTTAACTTATAGTGTGTGTGTGTGTGTGTATACATCAAACCCAGATGATTGTGGCTTATTCATAAATATGAACTAGCATCATTTGGCCTGTGTGATCTATATTCCTAGCTTTGTCCAATTCCATCCTAAAATACCGCTTTTAAGAGTCTCCCAGTCCCTTCTACAGAGCTTCGATTCTCTCATCCACCATCCCATGCATTAGTTGAACTCAGCCAGCTTATACTTCATAAAAACCTAAGGAACAATATCACTCGGCATTTTGTAGTCCTGATGAATAACTAGTTCTCAGTACACCAGCCATGCGATGTGAAAAACATAATCCATGGCCAGTCCACCTTCCACTTTTAGGCGCTGACCCCACTGGAGGAGGGCAGCCACTACAGTAGTCTTGCATTAGAATAATTTTGCAATAGTGGTGAATATCTATAGCTCCCCTAACCTCTGCTGAAGATGTTACCTAGCCTGGTAACGAAACGTCCAGAAACCAATCCACAAGGAAGGAACCTTCACTCTCTTTACAGTAATTCTTTGAGGCCGACAGGGAGCGCCCTCGGGCGGCCAAGAGACTACATTTCCCAGCAGGCCGAGGCGCCGAAGTTTGAAGCGGAAGAAACTGAAAGCCCCGCGCGCGCGAGTGGAGAGCTGTGACGTGCCAGTTGCGTCTCCAACGGACGTTTATAAAGGGCGAGAAGCTCGTTGGCGACGTTAAACGTCGGTTCGTCGAGCTGACGGTTGATTTTCCGTTTTCTTCTGGCGTCGAGTTGCGAAGGGTTCGGGCCAGCGATACGAGGCGGGGAGGGCTTGGCTAGCCGGCTTGTTCCCTGCAGGCGATACGAGGGACCGTCAGCATCACCGTCGTCCTCACGTGGCTTGATTGTGAGCGCTGCCGCAGCTTCCTCGCCCTCCGGTTTGGAGTCCGCGTCGTTATCCAGACCCATTTTCCAATCACGCTTTATGTTCTTGTATTATTCTATTCCCATTTATTCTGGACAGGTGCTTTCGGTGAAGTGAATGGAGGCCTTTCATAACCACTCGGAATTTTACTAATGCCATTAACCCTAGTGCATCCTTGTAGGTAAGGAAATGGTGTAGTAACCGCTCCCCTTGCCTGCTCCTTGGAACTTTTCATTTCTTTAGCACAGACATTCCCGACTCCCTGGCTTAGCTTTGCTCTTCTGCTTCTGTATGGTTATTTTGACGTCACCCTGCACTTAAATTAACACTTTATACTTTCTCACTTATCAGGTAAGCTAGTGGAAGCATGCCAATTTCAGGTTTATAGAACTTTTCCAACAAATTCCCTGACTTGATAAAAGGGTGAATTCTAAATTATACAAATCCCTTAGGCTATTATTATCAACAAGTAAAGCAAAAAGGGTCTTTGGTTTCTTCCCTTTCGGGTTGGCATTTAGCATGTCCTCTGATTTCAGTGCTAGTTGTCTGTAGATACTCCAGGTCTTGTACAATGTATTATAATTGATTTAAAAAGGTTAAATATTTGCCATGAAATACAATATTAATTGCATAAGAAACAAAACCATAGGTTTATTTGTGCATTATTATGTGAATAGTAACCTTTAAGTGATTTTTTTTTTGTTTCAGATACAGTAATGGAGTATCTTAAGGCTTCTAAGAAGACTGACAATTCCTTTCAACAGGAAGAAACTGAAGATATTGAATTTGTTAGTGTACGTAGACAATTTGCATGTAAACATAATAGTGCTGGAGGATCACCTAGAGATCAATAAGATGCAGCATTTTGTATTGTATAATGTCTATCCAGATCTGTCCTAGAACTCAAGCAGTCTTTTAGTACCAGTGCTCTTCAGTAGTTGCAGTTTAGGTCATACTCTCTTTTTTTCTAGATTTCATATGTAGCCATCAAAGCCAGCTGCCATGAACAGCCATTCCACTTATAGATTTCTCTTGTCCCCTTGAATCACCTATCAAAAGCCCTGGTGGTGCAGTGGTTAGAATGCAATATGCTTCTTCTGCTGGCTGCCAGCGGTTTGGCAGTTTGAGTCTTACCGGCTCAAGGTTCACTCAGCCTTCCATCCTTCCGAGGTCGGTAAAATGAGGACCCAGATTGTTGGGGGCAATAGGCTGACTCTGTAAACTGCTTAAAGAGGGCTGAAGTGCACTGTGAAGTGGTATATAAGTCTAAGTGCTATTGCTATTGGTAGCAATCATTACACCAGTGGTGGCGAACCTTTTAGAGACTGAGTGCCCAAACCGCAACCCAAAACCCATTTATTTACCGCTGCGTGCTGGGTGGGCGTGGCCTCGGTGGTAACAGCCAACTGGGTGGGTGTGGCCACCTTGATGGTGCTTGTGGGGGCCGGGCAGGGTTGGGGGAGATCCAGGGGGGTCTCTGGCGGGTGGGGCGGTGCACCGGAGGCTCATCCTGTGAGGAGAGGAGAGGCAGGGCGGATGTGCCAATTGCCGCAGGGCAAGGCAAGGGGCTGGAGCAGCTGCTGCCTGACACCATCAGCTCCCCCACACACACAGGCCAGCGAGCGCATGGGGGCCGTCGGTGTCCGTCAACAGCCACAGTCTCCTGCATCATGGCAGCCCTATCGGCGTGAGCGGAGACGGCCCTGGGATGGCCGGAAAGGAGCCCTCACCTGGTGCGGGTCCTGTCTACAGGGTGGCTCTGACGGGGGCAGGGGCTGCTGCTGCTCTGACTGGTCAACCCTGAAGGGAAGCAGAAGGGGCAGCTGGTGCGTGAATCTGCTGCCTCGTCGGTCTGCTAGTGAGCAGCCGAGGCAGCTCCAGACCCCCGGCTGCCCCTCCACCTCCTGTTTCCCTGCATGGTGACCGGTCAGAGCAACAGAAGAAGCCACTCCCATCAGATCTGTCGAGTGGATGCCGGGCAAGGGCTTCCTCCCTCCCCCATAAATCAGCGAGAAATAAAACCTCTCTTATTACGGCTTAGTTCAACATAATAAAAAAAAAACCTTTGTTCCCGAGAATTTTTTTCCTAGCAGTCAGGCAGAAGAGCAGAGCCCCGAGGCAAGTGTTCCGGAGCCGTTTCCTCCCGCATCTTTCTCATTCTCAATTCTCTTGCCCACGTATTGTCTGCACCCCACTCCCCCAATTGCTCTACGCTTCGCAGCCCAGGGAGTGAGATTCACACACACCCCGCCTCAGGGCCCTGCTCTTCTGCCTGGTGCTGGCAGCTCCATCATCCACAGCTGCCGGAGCAAGAGGCGGGTCACAGCAGCCCATTAATCTTTTTGCTGCATCGGCACCCGGGGGCTTGCTATTTCCCCCCCCCTCCACCCAAAAATCTAGGTTGAGGTGCAAACCCAGCTCATGTTCCTTTGCTCAGGAGGAGCAACTTATTGCAACTTCTTATGGTTGTGAACTAAGCCGTAATAAGAGAGGTTTTACTTCTCGCCGATTTGGAAGCGAAGGTCTGCCAACCATTCTGGCGGGGGAAGGCAGGATCTGGCATGCGGGCACTCTTTGCCGCTGCTGCCGCACATTGTCCTGCGTGCGCCTCCGGGTGGGGAGGGGAGGGCGTCTGCCATAGCTCACCTTCCCCCGCCACTGCCCCCACCAGCGTGAGGATGGTTGGCACAACTTTGCTTCCAGATTTGCGGCCGGCCGGGCTTGGCAATGCAGGGATTACTGCCGCCTCCTCCTCCTGCTTCTCTATGTGGTTGGCCAGTCAAGGGGCTCAGAGCAGCAGCCGCCACCCCCGTCAGAGCCACCCTGTAGACAGGACCCGCACCAGGTGAGGGTTCCTTTCCAGCCGTCCCTGGGCCGTCTCCGCTCACGCTGATGGGGCTGCACTGCGGAAGGGATATGGCGGCTTTGATTTCACTCTCCCGCTAAAACTGCTCCTTTTATACATTTCCTCACCCCGCCCAGCTCTTGCAGCTATTCCCAGACTGCACATGCGTGGAGAGGGGAAGAGGGAGGAGCCCAGAAATGGCGTGCGTGCCCACAGGGACAGCTCTGCGTGCCGCCTGTGGCACGTGTGCCATAGGTTCGTCACCACTGCACTACACCATATGGTAGCAAATTCTTAATATAAAAGAGTTTTTTTCTTTTATTGAATCTAAATCTCCTTAAATTTATTTTTGGTAAAGGATCCTGAATATTAATACTGTGAAAGAGGAAGAAAAAAATTACCTGCCTCTACATTTTTAATGGCATACGTGATTTTAGTACACCTCTATTGTATCCTATCTTTCAAAGTTAAACAGTTTCTTTTTTAAAATATATTTTATTAATTTTTCCCAATAACAATCGTTAGTGCTTAGTGAACAATGTGTTGTCTGGGTTCATATATTTAAAAACAATAATTTCTATAATTGATCAATGTGTTAGTTGATCATATATTTCCTTGATCCTCTCTTCTTCCAGTATGTTCTCCTTTTGTCTACATTAAACAAATATACGGTAATTCTTAATATTTTCAATACATACCAAGTTGGGTAAAAACATTTCTCTAGTATTTGTACATATAACAATAACATCAACATATAACATCTTTTCTAATCAGCTTGTTTCAATTGTATTTATAGAAGTCTTATTAAGTCATTATATGTCCTGTTTTCAAAATTCTTATTTAAGCTTAATGTCCCCTCAGTATTAAAAGCACTCATCAGTCATAATTTTCTCAGAACTGAAGGGGACACTAGGGTGGGAAAGTCTTCCAAGGAGATAGAAGAGGAGGGAGCATTGTGCTCAAGAAAGAAAGCATATCATCTTGGTATATGCTGGTCTATAACTGTAATAAGTATTTTTAATACTTTCTTAGTATAATTACTGCCAAAAGAGCCTTTATGATTATGATTGAGTCGGAATGAGTGCAGTTTAAAAAAAAACTTTCTTGGGTTATGAAATATCTGATCATTTGGTTAGAAGGCATTTGACAGAAGGCCATTCCACAGTTCTTTATAATGAGTGATATAAAATTGACCCAAATAAAAATTATTCTAATGAACCTGAATAACTAATTTGTTGTACTTTTGCCTCTCATATTTTGAGAGTACTCATAAGTGGAAAAAAAAACCCACTACTAAATATGTTTGTCTTCCTAGGAAGGCGTATTGAGACCTGTCCTGGAATGCATCGATCTTAGTAATGAAGAGGAATTTGATACCTTTTCTGAAGTGAGTGTTTCCTCACTGTAATTTTCAGTTTTGCTGTAATTTTTAGTTTTCTCTGGAATTATTTTGCAGTATTTTTCTGCAAACTTCTTACAATATGAGGGACCATGTCTGATGCATATGCACAGTAATTCTTGTTTATGTTTTGAAGGAAGAACTGTTTTAGAGGTACCTGCAGTTTCATATTTTAAAAGCAATTTGCATGTTGTTTCTATTTAGAAGGGGATCTTTGAATACCGCTTAAATTGTAGTTGTAGATTTTGATAAACTAAAAAGTAAACCCACACAAGAAGCCACGGGTTATTTTTGTGGCAGTGTTCCATACGGATCTATGTTCTTTCAAGTTATTTTTCTTCTTTGTTAAGTATACATTGCTCTTTTCTGGTTTCTCCCCTTGTTTTATGTCAAGAAATGCATTTCTTTTTCCAGCATTACTACGATACCCTGTCTGACCTGATTATAGATAATAATGGAAAGAACAAACATTTTGAAAGCTAAATTGTCCAAATATTTGTTATTACTTGCTCAGTGGAAACAACTAACAACAAATTATTAACCAACCTGTGGATAGAAAGGAGGCACTGTAATATTCTTGTTGCCAAACAAGCACTTCCCAAACTAACCTTGAATCATCTTGTAGGGGACAGGGGCACATAAAAATTAACTAAATAAATAAATACTATTGTTAACCACTCTAAATCCAAGATTGTGTGGGCATCTCCATGATCTTTCAAAGAATTTTGTGCTGCATCCAGAGCCATTTCCTCTATTCCTGGGACTATATATTTTAGTTTCTGCTGTTTCTTTGCAGCTTGCTTTGCTATTGAATTTTGGCGGTACAACTACAACTCCTGCCTGGTTTGGTATTAAATGCCTCTAAATCAAAAAGGGAAAGTCTGCATTAAAACATCCCAGTTTTACCATCAAGATCTACACCAGCAGTTCTCAACCTATGGGTCGCAACCCCATTTGAGGATTTGAGGTCGATAGACCATTTCACAGGGGTCGCCAAGGAAGGCTGTCCGCCATTTTTCCCCCTTTTCCGGCGGGTGCCTTACCTCCCTTGAGCTGGGCCAGCTGGTGGTCGGCCTGCTCCGTCTCTGCCGCTTGCCAGCTACGCCTCGGCCGGCGCAGGGGGCGGAACCACGCATGCTCGGTGCTCCCGGGCAGGGAAAGTCCTCGACTTACGACCGGTTGGGTAGTCCTCGACTTACGACCGGTTTAGTCCTCGACTTACAACCGGTTTATTCCTCGACTTACGACCGGTTGGGGGTCACGGCATTAAAAAGGTTGAGAACCACTGATCTACACTTAACAGACTTCACAAGGATTTCAGGGTTTTGTTTCTCAGTGCTGGAGCATCCAGTGAGAGAACCACTGATTCAGCCTTGTGCTGGTCAGTCTTTTTATCAGTGACTTGAATGAGGGAGTTGAGGAAACATTTATAAAAGTTGCAAATGACAAAACTAGGAGAGGTGGGTAATGATTGATTAATAATTATAGTTTTATTTTTTGACTTCTGGGACATATAAATAACCCTCTCTAGGTTAAAGATCTAGACCAGGGGTAGTCAACCTTGGCTCTTTTATGACTCGTGGACTTCAATTCCCAGAATTCCTGAGCCAGCTTAGCTGGCTCAGGAATTCTGGGAGTTGAAGTCCACGAGTCATAAAAGAGCCAAGGTTGACTACCCCTGATCTAGACAGAAGTTATATTTATTTATTTGTTACATTTATGTGCCCCCTATCTCGCCATGGGGCTAATCTAGGCGGCTTACAATAATAAAAAAGAAGAAAATGAAAGGAGTGTAAACAACAGAAATAAAATAACATAACTATAACATAACCATTGAAATGGGAACACAACAAGAATACATCAATATAATAACCAAAAAGTTGAATGGGTAGAGATCGGGGGGGGGGGGGGAAGAGAAGGAATCTTCATTCCAGCAGCCACCTCCATTATTTATGAATTGGTATTTATAAATTTAAATCCAATATTTATAAATCCAGGATTTATAAATTTATAAAAAAGTATTTAGTATTTGTCCAGTATATTCTAGCTTATTATACAGGTAGTCTTCAACTTATGACTACAATTGACTCCCAAATTTTGGTTGCTAAGTGAGACAGTTGTTAAGTGAGTTGTCTCTTTTTATGACCTTTCTTGCCACAATTGTTAAGTGAGTCACTATAGTTGTTAAGTTATTAACACAGTTATGAAGTGAATCTGGCTTCCCCATTGACTATGCTTGTCTGAAGGTTGCAAAAGTTGATCACATGACATCAGAACACTGCAATTGTCATGAGTTAGTTGCCAAGCGTCTGAATTTTGGTCATGTGACCATGGCGATGCAACAGTTGTAAGTGTGTAAAAAGGTCACGAGTTAACTTTTTTCAGTGCTTTTGTAACTTCAAATGGTCACTAAATGAATGATTGTAAGTCTAGACTACCTGTACAGATTTTGCTAAATCAAGCTTAGTTTGGCTTTCCACAACTAGCAAATACTCAAGATGTTAGGACTGCAGGTTTTTCTGCTTTTTTCCCCTCCTCTGTCATCTCTCTCAACCAATTTGGAGAAAAATGTAGGAAGTAGGGAGAATCGGCTAAAATTATTTCCCTTTTGTAAGTGAGAACTGGAAATGTTTCATGTATGCAGATCAATTAATAGGAACTTGGGTTCCATGCAGTTATGATATATAAGTATATTATCTGTCCTTGGTATCTAGAAGAATTATGCTTTGCATGCTAGATCTGCCCAAATGATCCTGCAAGCCATTTGTTTTACCTTGAGCTTAAAAGTGTTGTGAGATAAGATATATATGTTCAGTCATGTCCAATTCTTGAAGACTGCCTGGACAAATCCTTGCAGTTTTCTTGGCATTGTTTTTCAGAAGTGGTTTGCCATTGCTTTCTTCCTAGGGTTAAGAGAAAATGATTGGCCCAAGGACACCAGTTGGTTTCATACCTAAGCCAGAACTAGTTTCATGGCCTCTAGTTTCTAGCCTGATGCCTTAACCGCTACCGCTACACCAAATTCACTGTCATTGTTTATATACACTTTTCCAAGTCTTTTCTGGAGAATGGTGGTTCCCCTCCCTCCAATTTAGAGGGAGTATATAGAAAGAAGTTCCATTGCACAACCAGAAATCGGTTAGAAGCTTTGTCAC